AGCCTCTCGAACGCTGCGGAGATTTGAGATGCCAACTTTGCGCGCATGTGTTGGGTTGCCCGGAAAGTTCATTTCACATTTCACAGAGTTCATTTCGTGATATAAAAATATTTGAACCGAACATTCCGAACAATGGATGAAAATAATAGATGATAAAATAGATGAAAATCCACGTAGAATAATTCCAAAATTGCGCAATGTGTTATCGTTTTGTCGATGAGTGTAACACATGTATATGTTCATATAAAATCCAATAATTTCATCAATTAGCATTTCCGTTAATATGAAACAAAATAATCAATTAAATGATCAATCAATACTGATGCCAATATAATTTGGTAAATAGTCTGTGGATATACTTCCATTTTTTTATTTCAAGTTATTGTTTCATCCAATATTGGCTACAAGCGTAACTAATTGCTAGGATACAGTTACAGTTCCATATAATAACTAGACTCTATCTAAACAGTTGGCGATGATCATGCGCATAAATAGAATCAGTTATATTTGAAACACTTTCTCGAATAATGTACAGTTTAGGAAATAGTTTCACGATAAAATTAAATGACCCTGAACACATTATATATATAATGTATACTANCACAGAGTTCATTTCGTGATATAAAAATATTTGAACCGAACATTCCGAACAATGGATGAAAATAATAGATGATAAAATAGATGAAAATCCACGTAGAATAATTCCAAAATTGCGCAATGTGTTATCGTTTTGTCGATGAGTGTAACACATGTATATGTTCATATAAAATCCAATAATTTCATCAATTAGCATTTCCGTTAATATGAAACAAAATAATCAATTAAATGATCAATCAATACTGATGCCAATATAATTTGGTAAATAGTCTGTGGATATACTTCCATTTTTTTATTTCAAGTTATTGTTTCATCCAATATTGGCTACAAGCGTAACTAATTGCTAGGATACAGTTACAGTTCCATATAATAACTAGACTCTATCTAAACAGTTGGCGATGATCATGCGCATAAATAGAATCAGTTATATTTGAAACACTTTCTCGAATAATGTACAGTTTAGGAAATAGTTTCACGATAAAATTAAATGACCCTGAACACATTATATATATAATGTATAATAAATGTATATAATACAATATACATATACGTATATATATATATATATATATATATTATTATGTATATATATTATTATATATATATCATTATTATTATTATTATATATATAATAATTAATTATATATATTATTATATATAAATTATATATAATTATTATTATTATATAATTATTATAATTATATATAAATTATATATATAATAATAATAATAATAATAATGATATATATAATAATATATATACATAATAATAATATATATATAATATACATATACATATATTTATATGTATGTACGGATTTCTGCGCAAAATAGAAATTGTCCGCATCAATCGCAGCAAATAAGTATTACAGTAATTGTTCCCTAATTCGCGCTCACATTGCGCGCAAAAATGGACAATTTCGGAAGAGAAGAAATCATTATTAAAACTTCGTAGCTCGTTTCTGTACTCGCCGATTGTCGCCGCGAGGTTCGAATAATCGTATCCCCGCTTCCCAAATTGTCCATTTTTGTGCGCAATCTGAGCGCGAATTAGGGAGAAATTACCGTGCATAGAAATTTCCATCACGGTGTAACGGTACCAAATATAAGACATCCGTTTATTGTGAAACCACGTAATACTTTCACAAAGAAGTGCCGCGACATTGCAGGAATATTTACAACCGCAAAAACAAATGATAACGTTGTCCGCATAAGACGATTAACATAAATACCATGGTACAGTAATATGTCATTAAACATGTTTTTCCTAGCCGGGAATTTGTATACTAATTACTAATTACATACTGTTAAGCCCTGAACAGATGATCTGCTGGCGTGGTCGCTTGAACACCGTTCCCAACGACCATAATCACGTGCGAAACATACGACCGACACCACGTACGACAGACCTAAACGAAGATCGTTCGCGAATAAATCATGGCATCGACAATATACCGTACAATAAAGACACTGAAGACGCTAGCTGCACCAGCAGTTTTTTACATCTTCGATTAAGACGATTTCAGGCACACCTGCAAACCAATTAAGACACAACAGAACTGAGCTAACGGTGAATACAACTCAATCAGAATCGACAGACCAAGAAAATAGCGAATGCAAACGAGCGAAGCGGGACTTACGGTTCCGCGAAATTCGGCGTACGAGTTCGCAATATTCGAGGAAGCAACATATGCATAGTTGCGAGAAGATTTAATAATAAAACTAAATTGTTTGAGGATGGTCTTTTTATTATCTTGAATCTTAGCGCCGTCGACGAATCGTCTTATCGATTAAATGAAATATTAATATAATATAATTAATATATATATTATATTATATATAATTTTTAAATTAAATTATATTATTTAATATATATAATATAAATATTAATTATATTATATTAATATTTCATTTAATCGATAAGACGATTCGTCGACGGCGCTAAGATTCAAGATAATAAAAAGACCATCCTCAAACAATTTAGTTTTATTATTAANTAATATAGTAATATATTATTTTATTTTATATATAATATAATATATATAAAATAATATATATGTATATATATATAATTATATCATTATTATATATTATTTATACATATATATATAATTATTTTATTATATAATATAATTATTTTATTACATAATATAATTATTTTATTACATATATATTATTTTATATATATTATATTATATATAAAATAAAATAATATATTACTATATTAATTATCTATCGAATAACCCCGAACAAATGGACAATCAGCATTTAACCCTCGTACGGCAAATTTTGTGTCCACTTTGTCATTGAGTTAGTATCGTTTTACCGAAATTCCTTTTTTTCGCATATTAGCCACTTGAAATAATTAATTACCCGTCTTACGTACAATGTGAAGATCAACACGTCGACCTTAAAAAAGTAAATTTAAAAAATATATAAGAGAAAATTGGTCTACAAGGAATTAGATGGATCTAGGCCGTGTACTGCACGGGTTAAATAATAATCAACTAACGGCTGATTATTAGACATTTGCACGTGTCGTTTATTTTTTTCTTCTAGACGAAGGAGCGCAGATTTACGCACACGAGTCAATTCCTTGCACGAAAGGAATCGTCCCAGTGAACTGGGACTCGTTTCTTCGAGTTTCACAACACTTCCCATTCACCTGCACTCCACTAAGATACGCGCGTACACACGTAGACGCTACTACATCCACGCGAATAGGTTACGCCTTTGTTCGCTTGTACGTGTGTAACGGCGGCTCTCGCTTATTCTTGCCGGTGTATCGAGTTCTACTTATTAGGCAAATTTTCAATTTTGATGCATCTACAACGTAAATTGAAAATTATTCGCCAGTAACCATCTTTACCGGAGATTAAATTTCGAGATACCTGTTCTTATTCATTTGCCGAAAGAATATGAATCTAACGCTGTCGTATCTTCTTTATCGATTAAATTAAAAGCATGTACATTGTATGTACACGCACTATCTGGCGTAGATTGATTCGTATCGCTTTTATATCTATTTTTCTCTACTTCTATACTTAAATAAGTTAATTACCAAGAACGGATTCTCTAGAAAG